CTAAATGACATTCTAAATGATTTAATGTGTGTCTCTAAGCCATGCAATACTTTCAAGGATGAATCCTGTGGGGGCATCCCCCCCCAAAAAAAATAACTTGAGAAAATAGGAAATAAGAGAAAGAAAAGTTTTGGGTCTAGTTGAATTTGTTTCCTTCCAAAAGCATGACAAAAAGCCCCCAGAAATGTAGCCACACTCCTTAAAAAGGCCATAAAAAGCAACATGAAACTAAACCTGGTGTTTTTGGCCCGCGAAAGCAAGTTTGCCCCCAACAGATTATTTTGAATTGTGGAGGTGTGTTTGCATCAATTGTATGTTGAATTCTAAATCTCAAGCATTTGTCAAGTATTTCATACACTCGAGCATATTGAACTCTTGGAACTTGCAGGAGTGCCCCATATCGGAATTTTCAAAATGGCCATTCACTGCAAGTATGTTGAAAAACAAACCTATAAGAGGGTTTGAGAAGTATATGAAAAGAAGCATTTTGAACAAAATGAAAAATGTACACATAGTCCTAGATATAAGCGACTCTCCATGGGTATTGTACACAACCAACATAGAAATGGCTGTCACAATGACTTCTTTATCTCAGATTGTTGGATATGATTTTTCTCTTTCTGTTACAGGTTCACAATGGCACTTGCAGCCATTTTAAGTTCTTCATTGCAGTCTTCGTCCAGCACCAGAGCCCAAACATTAATTCGTTTGATACTGACTTGCGCCGTCTGCATCCACATTGCTCGTGCGTTTAGTTTTAATGATGTGGCGAAATATGTCGTCAAACCATGGTGTTTGACGGAGTGTTGCCAAGGTGGTTTTGGCTGGATAAATCATACCAATACCTCAGGCAAGTAGTCAGTGAAGTGAAACTCCAAGTAGAGCGTACCTGTCCTTTTTGCCCCTCACAAAGCCTGTGGGAACATGCACTAACCAATTTGTACTGGAGAATGGGTTGAAATCTCGAGAGTACCTCAACTCATCTCAAGTTAATGGTTAATCCTAAAAGAGCCAGGGGGAGGGGGGCAAAATCTGTCCCTTCTTATTTTTTTTTAAATAACTCACTAAGCTTTCTGTGAATTTTTCAGCAACATCTTGCATTCACTTTGACACCAATTTTATGAAAATCGGTCGTACCACTCTTGCGCAATGCCCATTTTTCCGAGACAGGTCTGTCAAAACTGTATAGTGTTTCTATTGACATGTTGAATGCATGCAGGCTGAGTTGAGTGTGGCCTTGAACTTCATTTGGCCATAACAAACCAACAGTATTTCAGACAGGGTTGAAACGTCAGTCATGTAGGTTGAGAGTTGAAACATCATTTGTACTGACAATGTCTTTACATGTATGCCAAGCTTCATAAAGATCAAACATCAGACAGTGGAGTTCTTGGAGGGGGCGGAATCCACACCTTCCAGGGTCTGTGATGGCCCCACAAAACCTGGCTCTTTTAGTGGCGAACACGTTTAACCCTGTATTTGTTTTGAACACACAAATTCTGTGAAGTCTTTGGAGGTAGACAGTCTGTTGAACTTGACATTGGCTCTCCCCTGTTGTGGGTGCAAAGATTGCTCTGTGGGAATGCCCTGAAGTGTGGAAAATATAAAGTTGACGTAAGACGTTTGCAAATACTGAACAAATAACTCTTGCGGATCAGTATTTGAGTGGTTTGGCTTTACATGAAACGTTGACCACTACATCTTGCTGTTTTTGAAAGTTTGAAGTTTTTTTACCTGAAATAGCTGGTGGCTAAGCCACAGAGGTTTGAGGCAGTTTTGGGCAGTACAGAGAGTAATAGGCTTGACAGTTATTCCTTTAGGCCAGTTGTCTGACTAATGGGTCTAATCATTGTTCATGTACCAAACAGGCTTGCAAAAAGCTCTCAGAATGCAGGTATTTGGTCAGCATCTAGTGACTGACCATGTGGTAGGAGCAGTGGACGGTCATCTCACCAACAAGGACCCGGACAAGCCGCTGGTGCTGTCCTTCCACGGCCCGACTGGCACGGGCAAGAACTACGTCGCACGCATCATCGCTGAGACCATCTATCAAAAGGGGATGAATAGCAAATTTGTCCACCACTTCTCTTCCAATAAACATTTCCCCCACAAAAGGAAACTTGAAGAGTACCAGGTACAAGTTTTTTTAAAGCTTGAAGCTTGTTTGGTGTTGTGGTCAAGACCATCATAAGACCATTCAAAAGACCAGTCCCAAGTAACAGAGCAAACAATTTCCATAGGAAGGCTTTTGTTGCCATTTACGGAATAGTCACTAGAATTCCAACTGGACGTCTTGTGATGGTCTTGTGATGGTCCTATAGGGTCTTGTAATGGTCTTGTGGTGGTCCTATTAGGTCTTGTGATGGTCTTGTGGTGGTCCTATAGAGTCTTGTGATGGTCCTATAGGGTCTTGTTATGGTCCTTTAGGGTCTTGTGATGGTCCTATCGGGTCTTGTAATGGTCCTATAGGGTCTTGTGATTCTCATGTGATTGTCCTATAGGGTCTTGTGATGGTCTTGTGATGGTCCTATAGGGTCTTGTGATGGTCTTGTGGTGGTCTTGTGGTGGTCCTATAGAGTCTTGTGATGGTCTTGTGATGGTCCTATAGGGTCTTGTGGTGGTCCTGTAGGGTCTTGTAATGGTCCTATAGGGTCTTGTGATGGTCCTATAGGATCTTATAACGGTCCTAAGAGGTCTCGACTACAACGTTTTTAAGTGAAACCGAAAGGTTGTGCATAAAGAATTGTAGATTTATTGAAAATAATTTATCTTTTCACCTTATTTTCCATGTTCAAACCCAAAAGTCATATATTCATATTACTGTATTCAAACTTCTTCATTATCCTTGTGTAGAAGAAGATATGAATTGCTGTTTTCAAGCATATTTCAGTTGTTTGGCATTCCTGTTGTTGTAGTCCTGCTTGTTGAATTTGGCAAGTTCGAACTGTTTAGAGTTTACTAGTGGGAAATGTTAGAGCTCGCTGTCACATCCCTGGTATCAAACTGCTTGTTGGCCTATGACAATCACGCGTACTAAAGCCACTTTCGTCTTTTGTCTACAGCAGAAGGTAAGTGTTTGTCTACCGAGACTTCTTTTTTATTGACATAAAATCTCCACTGTCAAGGGAAGGACACAAAGTGGGTGAAACCAAAGTGCACGTGTAACAAGAAAAGTTTCCAAGATAGTGAAAAATCACCCGTTTGTACTCTGCAGAATTATTTGAAGACGTACGTGGAATTGGAAGTCTCATGGTGTCCCTACCAACTCTTCATCTTTGACGAGGTAGAGGACATGCCGGAGGGGCTTCTGGATTCCATCAGGACCTTCCTGGATTACAACATCCACATTGACGGAGTCGACTACCGGAAAACCATCTTCATCTTCTTAAGGTGATTGTCCCCACTATTCCCATTCAAAAGTTGATGTGATGACCAGTTGTGCAACAGTTGTGTAAAAGTGGCAACTAATATGCCAAAAATAGTGAGATAAAATTGTGGAAATATGGAAGGGCTGTGAGCACTGTGATCAGAATAACGACAAGAATATGATATCAAATCAGTGCTCTGAAATATGAACTGAATCTGCTTGCCCTGAAGAAGGTACTCAAGTTACCAAAAGCTCAGCAATCACATATTTCAGAGCACTGATTTGAGATAAAATTGTGGACTTTTTAGAATTGCGATATTTGCAGGTAGTCAGAAAAGAAAAGAAATATTGATTCGTGTGAGATTTTGCTGGATTCTGGATAAGGGTGCACTTTTTCAGAACCAGCAGAAAGTCTTCTCTATTTTGTTACATTTCATTGATGGCTGCTCCACCCAGAGATTCTCCTAAAAGGATCAGAATCATCTAGGAACCAAAGTGGTTCCTTCCCTAACCTACCATCACAAAACATCAGATCGGTGCATTGTTTGATGCCCCTCAAAAGGCCAGTTTCCAAGTTTCGCTTCAAGGGTGTCCAATCTGTGTGCTGGTTTTACAGTAACATAGCCGCCCGTGAGATAAGCAACAAAACTGCCGATCACCTGCTGGCCGGGAGAAGCCGGACAGAAATCACGCTGAAGGAGATGGAGAAGGTCATTGAGGTCACTGCTAACAAGGCCTCAGGTGAGTGCCACAGCAGGAAGGCTGGGACATACTCCAGGTGGACGCAAAAGCGAAGCGAATATGACAGCACGAAACAGTTTGCAGCCGTTCGAGTTGTGTCCGAATTATTCGAAGCCGTTCGAATAATTCGTTCGAATTAACATGTAGGCAGTGATTGCGATTCCACAGTGTCAATATTTTGTCTGATGTCACCAAAAAATGTCTTCGATTTCAATATGTTCTGTAATTTATCCAATAAAATGAAGTTATGCCGTTT